GTATTTGAGGCTGCTCTGGCCCCGAGGTCTGTGAACAAAGTTGCAGATACATTAGGAGAGTTTTTAAAAAAAGTTTAATAGGTCAAATACCAAACTTTACATGTTTAAGTAACCTGAAAATGAATATACTGTCCCGGTTCTGTCACACGTCACGCCCTGCTGCTGTGGATTTACCTGCCACTTCTCCCTTGAAAGCAGCGGGGGATGAGCCACAGGAGGCCCGAGGGAGGATTCAGGACGGGTCCTGTCGGCGTTCGCCAGCCGGGCTTGGGGCTGCTCGTCCTCGCTGCCCCGCCGTGCCCGGGAGGGTGGGGACGAGGGACAGGCTCTGCCCCGGGGGACTCGCGGCTCCGCGCTCCCAGCTGTGGGACCGTGTGTGAGTCCCGTGACGAAGGAAGAGGGGCTGCAGGGACCGGCTGTGTCTGGGGTCTGGCTTCTTCCCCAGCCACGGTACAAAGTATTTCTGTGTAAGAGGCGGATTTGGCTTTTTGGCTCGACACTGGTGTCCCCTGGTAGTGAGGAGGAAGGGCTCTGCCGAGGAGCCCCCAGTGTCCCGTGATTTACCCCGGCACAGGACCCCGGCACCGGCAGAGCCCTGATAACCGAGCGTCCGTCTTAACCCCGGCCGTGGGCTCCTGCCGCAGCCCGGGACATCCTGCTCCCCACCCCCTGCTCCTGCTGGGAGCATCCTGTCCTCCCCAGATTTGCTTACGCTTCTCTTTTTCAAAAATGTGTTTCTTAAGCGGCTCAAGGCCTTTGGTAGATTTATGGGCTCCCTTCCGGTGACTGTCACTCTTCCACCTTCCCCTGCCAAGGGTTCGACCCGCAGCATGTGACAGCAGAATCCAGACAAACCGGGAACTTTCTGCAGATGCTCCAGTTTCTGAGGCAGCCCCGAGCCCGGCTCCGGGCGTTTCTGCACGGGGCGTGCTGAGCTGGATGGAGGCAGCGTGCGAGGGGCTGCCGGCGCCTGCCCGCGGTGAGGAACGCGGCCGGTGGCGGCCAGGAGATGCTCCGAAGGAGCCGGGGTTCGCTGGGTTTGCAGACGTGAACTGGGAGCCCCACCTGTGCTGCTGCCGGTGGCGTTTGGGAGCAGCCTTGCCCTGACGAACCCAGTTCTGACCACCGCCAGGTTACTGCGGCGTTTGCAGCGTCGCTCTCAGCCGGCTGCTGATCGCGAATCAGTCCTCCCCCCATCACAGCTCGGGTCTGTGTCCCGCTCAGCCCCGCGGGGCCACGTTGCCGTCATTTCTGTAAAATCAGGCACGGGGAGGAGAGGTTTGTGTTTCAGAGGGATGAGTTTCCCCTCTTCTGCTCGGGGTGGCAGAGGGGCAGTGTTCCCCGGACACCCCCACGGCGTGGGGTGTCCGGAGCTTGTGCGTGAGTGACGGTCGGGGGCTGCAGAAAAACTTGTGAAGGGAAAAGATCGTGTGTCCCAGCCCCACGGCGCGGGGGGAGCAGGGGGGTCGGGTCCTGGGGCTGGATTCGTGTTCAGACTCCTGGACAGAGTAATGCGCTTTATACTGCAAGTGTTTCCTTTGGAAAACAGGAAATATCTCTTAATTTTTCTTTAGCTAAATAGATCTGATGCCCCAGCACGTCGGGGGCTCCCCGCACCACCTCACCTCATGTTTCGCTCCCTGCCCTGGAGCACAGGAGGGGGATGGCCACGAGGTGTCATTTAAAGGCAAAGTGTCTGCTCGTCGCCAGGAAAAACAACTTTACTGACCTGGGTGCGTGCAGGGAGCCCCCCGCCCGCGGTGACGGGAGCGTCCGACCCCCCCTTAGTTGGGAGGGTGGTTGTCCTTGGCGATGACTATGGAGTGCTGCGTGGTGGAGGAGGAGCTGCCTGCGCCCTTCTGGCTGCCTTGATCTTTGGGGATGTACTTGACCACGGCGGAGATGAGCTTGCTGCGGAAGTTTTTGCTCAGGAAGTTGTAGAGGATGGGGTTGATCACGCAGTGGAGCAGGGTGAAGCAGTCTATGACGTCGTAGAAGAAGTAGAGGAACTGGGCGAAGGTGCAGTGGAGGATGATGTGGTTGCCGTCGAGGGTGAGCAGTGTGAGCATGACGTGGAAGGGCAGCCAGCTGACGAGGAAGACGACGATGTAGGCGTAGATGAGCAGACAGTGCTTCCTGCTCTCCGGCCTGGTGCGCCTGATGAACCTGGCCGTCAGGACGTTGAAGGTGGTGATGATGGGGAAGGGGATGAGGAACCCAACGGTGGTGGTGGCCAAGCTGACCGCCAGCGCCCACTCGTCGTAGGTCTCGAAGGGGGCCGTGAAGATGCAGATGGGCTCTCCGGTGTTGACCAGCTGCATGTGAGCGACCTCCAGGAACGGGATCGCTGCGGCCAAGACCCAACTGCCGGCGCAGATGACGCGGCGCGCGCGGTGCTGGTGCTTCCGCCAGAAGAGGGAGGAGCTGGTCAGGGACACGTAGCGATCCACGCTCAGGCAGGTGAGGAAGAAGATGCTGGCGTACATGTTGGCAAAGTAGAAGTAGTGCGTGAAGCGGCAGAGGAAGCTGCCCCAGAGCCAGGTGTAATCCAGCATCACCTCCAGCATCCAGATGGGCAGCGAGAGCAGCACCCCCAGGTCCGCGATGGCCATGTTGATGATGTAGAGGTTGACCAAGCTCTTGTGGCCCCGCGTCTGCCAGTTGACCCAGATGACAAGGAGGTTCTCCACCAAGCCCACCACGAAGATGACCAGGTAAAGGATGAAGAGGACCACCCGCTTGACGTTCTCATCCAGGCTGAACTCGCAGAAGGTGTAGGTGTAGTTCAGGAGGTGGAACAGCTCGGACCAGTTGTGGTAGTCCCCGTACTCGTTCGGGAGAGTGTGCGTCTCGGTGGGGGTGGGGGTGGCCTCAGCCATCCTGGTCGCTGCAGGGAGAGGGAAAGCACTGAGCTGCGGTGCAGCGGCTGCGCTGGGCTGGGCAGCTTGAGACTGGAGAGAAACGATCTCTCCCGTCCGAGCTCAGTCATCGCGGGAGGCTCTGAAAGTTCCCTTCTGTGGTATTTTTTAATCCAATTTTTACCCCTGTGGTGACTTCCTACATCAGCCCTCAAAAGATCCCGTATCTGCATCAGCCGGTAACCTCACGTCCCGGGCAAAATGCAGGTCACAGACACCAGCCCCCCCTGCACCCGCACGAGCTCCCCGCTGGTGCCTGTCCCCTGCCCACAGCCTGGGCCGCGGCGCGGGGACAGGCAGCACGGGGGACGTGGCCCCACGGCTCGTCACATCGGTCACTGCAGAAGCGGCGCGGGCGACCCGGGAGCACAGCAGCCAAGGCTGTGCCACCTCCCCCGAGAGCCCCGGAGCTCGGGTCCTGCCGCCGCGGAGCTGTGGGAATCCCGGCCCCGGCTCTGCTGCTCTGCCCTCGCGTGCAGCGACCAGCCGCGGGGCATCGGGCACACGGGCAGGCACCCGGGCCACCAAATGCGCCCGCGTCTGCCCGACCCTGCGCTGGCAGGGGAGCCCCTGTCCCCCTCCCCGGCTGTGCGGTCACCTCATAAATCCAGGCAGCAGCCCTCGCTCTGCCTGTCCCGCAGCCGCATCGCTGGGACCCGCCGGGACTTCCAAGTAGGTGACAAAATTATAAACTTAAAGGAAATGTAGTTGAC